CTGGTCTAAGGGCCAACGCTCTAACCGCTGAACCAAACCTGACAGGGCTCTGACACTCTTTATGTAGGTCAGAGTTTATGACCTATATCATTTTCTTTCTCTCTGAAGAACTTTTAACATCTGGCAAGTCAGGTTTCTCAGAGACAAATGCCTTCAATTTTGTTTGTCTGAGAAAGTGTTTATTTCTCCTTTATTTTAATTTTATTTTTTTTGGTATGTGCCCTTAGCGGGAACTGAACCCGGGACTCTCTGGTCTGAAGGCCGACACTCCAATCACTGAACCAAACTGGCCAAGGCTCTACTTTATTTTTAAAGGATAATTTTGCTCCATACAGAATTCAAGGTTCATGTTTTTTTTTTCTTTCAACACTTTATATAAATATTTCACTCTACTCTTGCCTACATGGTTGGTTTCTAAAGAGAGGCATGGCCCACCCGGCTGGTGTGGCTCAGTGGTTGAGCATCGACTCATGGACCAAAGAGTCCTAGGTTCGATTCTGGCCGGGTGCACATACCTCAGTTGCAGTTTGTCCTCGGTTGCGGTCGTCCTCAGTCCCAGTTGGGGTCATGCGGGAGGCAACCAGTCATTGTGTCTCTTTCATATCAATGTTGCTCTCTCTCTCTTCCTCTCTCCCTCCTGCTCTATCTGAAAATAAACTGAAAAATATTCTCGGATAAGGATTTAAAAAAATTAAAAAATAAAGAGAAGCATGATGTAATTTTTTTAAAATATGTTTTTATTGAATTTTGAAGAGAGAGGAAGGGAGAGCGCGCGCGAGAGAGAAACATTGATGTGACAGCATAACATCAATGGGCTGCCTCCTGCACACCCCCTGCTGGGGTTTGAGCCCAAAACCCAGGCATGTGCCTTGACTGAGAATTGAACTGGTGACCTCTTGGTGTATGGGTCAGTGCTTAACCACTGACTCACACCAGCTGGGTTGGTGGAATTCTTATCCTTGCTGTAAGTAAGGTGTTTTTCCCTCCATCTGGCTTCTTTCTTGGTTTTCTTTATCTTAATTTTCTGCAGCTTGAATATAATATACCTAGGTATAGATTTTTTTTTGGTATTTCTCTTTCTTGGTGTTCTCTGAGCCTCCTGAATCTGTGGTTTGGTGTCTGTCATTAATTTTGGAAAACTTTCAGTCATTACTTTTTCAAATATTTATTTTCCTTTCTTCTTCTGGTATTTCCATTATGTGTATGTCTCACCCTTTGTAATAGTCCTAAGGTTCTTGGCTATTCTATTCTTTTTTATTTTTTATTTTATTTTTTTTATCCTCACCTGAGGACATTTTTCGATATTTTGTTCAGATAGAGTGAGAGGGAGAGAGAGAGAGAGAAACATCGACGTGAAAGCGACACATCGAGTGCTTGCCACCCACACAACCCAACCAGGGTTGGGGACAAACTGCAACCAAGGTACGTGCCCTTAGCGGGAACCAAACCCGGGTCTCTCCGGACCACAGGCCGACGCTCTAACCGCTGAGCCAAATCGGCCAGGGCAAAAGGTTTACATTTTTGTTTTTTGATACGTGCCCCTCCCTAGCGGGAACCGAACCCGGGGCTCTGGTCCGCAGGCCGATGCTCCAACCTCTGAGCCAAACTGGCCAGGTATTCTTTAAAAATAGTTTTTTCTCTTTCATTTTCAGCTGGAAATTTTCTACTGACATATGTTCAAGCTCATTGATTCTCTTCTCAGCCATGTCCAGTCTACGTCAAAGGCATTCTTCATTTCTGTTACAGTATTTTTTTATTTCTAACATTTCCTTTTGATTCTTTCTTAGAGTTCCCATCTCTCTGCTTACGTTATCTATTAGTTCTTTATGTTGTTCACTTCCCTGTGAGAGTCCTTAGAATATTAATTATAGTTATTTGAAGTTCCCAGTCTAATAATCCCCAAATCTCTTGCCATCTAGTTTTGATACTTGCTCTGTCCCTACACACTGTGGTTTTGTTTTTTCCTTTTAGGATACCTTGTCATTTTTTGTTGAAAGCTAGATATGGTGTGCATGAGGTTTTATATTTATCTGGCAAGGAGTTAGGCCGTGTTTTCTATCTCCTGAAGCTATAGGTGTCAAGGGTAAAAAAAGGGTAAAAGCGATAGGTGTCCTTGTTTTTGTCTCCCTGTTGTCTTTGAGTTTCTACAGACTTTTTCAATAAGGTCTGAGACTTGTAGTTCTATAGGGCCTAAGATTGGGTCTCAGTCTTTGAGTGAGCCTGTAGCCCTGGACCTTCACAAGTGGTTCTCAGTCTCCTCTCATTCCCTTAAGGTGAGACAAAAAGGGGCCAGGGTTGGGGATTTCCCTTTTTCCAACTGGTAAAACAATTTCCTTTGAGGATAGGCCTTGTAAAGAAGAACAGAGGGCCCTGAGTGTGCTTTAAAATGGCTGTTTTCCTATCTCCCTGCTAGAAGCACTAGGCCCTAGTGAGTAGGGGATGTTTTTCTGATTTTCACCTTGAGAACCTAATGGGCCTCTGGAGATAAAACTCACAGAAGTGTGACCCCCCCCCCCCCCAAATTAAGTCCCCACTTATTCACACCGAGCTTCCAGCAACTCATTGATTGCAGTTTAAGTTTTCCATTGGTACTTGCCCTAGCAGTGGCTTCTGCTCCAATGAGCTGTGTTTCTTTGTACCTGCTACTCTCTTCAAGTTTGGGGTAGTGGTTTGCCCTGTGACCTCAATTCTCTGATGTGTCTAAGAAGAGTTGTTGATTTTCAGTTTGTTCAGCTTTTCTTCTTGTTGTGAGGATGGGAGTGATAATGTCTAAGCTCCTTACATGTCAAACCTGCCTTAGCATTTAAGTCATGGATTCCAGAACCAAGTATAGACAAGAGTTGTTGTTTTTTTTTATCTTCACCCAAGGACATTTTTCCATTTTTTGTTCAGACAGAGCAGGAGGTAGAGACAGAGAAAGAGAGAAACATCGATGTGAAAGGGATACATCAAGTGGCTGCCACCCACATGACCCAACCAGGGCCAGGGACAAACTGCAACCGAGGTACATGCCCTTAGCAGGAACCGAACCCGGGTCTCTCTGGACCGCAGGCCGACGCTCTAACCGCTGAGCCAAACCGGCCAGGGCTAGACAAGAGTTCTGAAGTAAATCAAGCAGAATTAAAATCCTGACTCTGCTACTGGCTAATGCTTGTGTGACTTGGTAAAGTTACTTATCTGCGCCTTGGTTTTCTCATTCAGAAAATGCATGGCAGGCCCTGGCCAGTTTGGCTCAGCGGTAGAGCGTTGGCCCCCAGACCAATGAGTCTTGAGTTTGATTCTGGCCAAGGGCACATACTTCGGTTGCAGTTCAAACCCGGCCCTGTTCAGGGTCATGCGGGAGGCAGCCAGTCAGTGTGTCCCTCTCACGTTGGTGTTTTTCTCTCTCTCCTCTCACTCTGTCTGAAGATAAATAGAAAAATATCCTCAGGTGAGAATAAAAAGAGAAAGAAAATGCATGTCAGGCCCTGTGTTGTTTGGCTCTGCAGTTAGAGCGTAGGCCTGTGGACCGAAGGGTCACGGGTTTGATTCCCAGTCAAGGGCATGTACCTGGGTAGCACGTTTGATCCCCGACCCCAGTGGTGGTCATACAGGAGGCAACCAATCCATGTGTTTCTCTTGCATCTATGTTTTTATTTTTATTTTTTAATTGATTTTTAGAGGGAGAGGAAAGGAGAAGGAGAGAGATAGAAACATCTATGAGAGAGAACATCGATTGTCCGCCTCCTGCATGCCCCCCACTGGGGATTGGGCCCACAACCTGGGCATGTGCCCTGACCAGGAATCGAACCGGCAACCTCTTGGTGCATGGCTCGATGTTCAGCCACTGAGCCACACCAGCCGGGCATGCATCTATGTTTTTTTCTCTCTCTCTCCTTCTTTCCTATCCCTTCCACTCTATCTAAAAAGCAAGGGAAAAATATCCTTCGGTGAGAATTTAAAAAAAAAGAAAAGAAAGAGAATGCCTGTCAGGCACTAAACAAAGTGTCTAGCATCAGGTAGAAGCTCAATAAGTATGAGCTTTATCATCATTTCCACACACACTGTGTGCTTTCAACTCTGGCTCTTCTTTTTGCCTGGAACACTGCTCTTCTGTCTATCTAACTTCTATGCGTACATTCAAAACATTGTTTATTTCTCATACTAACAAAGTGTGTTCAGAATCCCTATTCTGTTTTGGATGAGGTGATCATATAATTTATCGTCCAAATTGGGAGACTTGAGAGTAAAAGGGGATGCTATTAATAATTACCCCAGGCCAACAGTCCTAGGCAAACTGGGAGATGTGGTCATCTCAGTTTTAGATGCCTCTTCTCTGACTTTCCATTGCTCCCATTGTCTGTCAATAGCATCGTTTGCTCTGCTGTCTTTGTTACCTCCTATTTTGAAATTCCTTGAGGGAATACATGGTGCCTCACTCACAACCATGGCCCGGAATCTCTTACAGGGCCAACATGTACCCCACACACAGACACTGAAATGATGAAAGTGATCATGCCATGTTCATTTCCACCTTTATCTGTGATTGTTTCTACCTTTAATGTGATCCCATGCCTTCTAACTCCTTCAGATAAATATTCTGTCTTCTGGGGCCTCACTCATATCCCACCCCTTCTGGGAAGCCCCCTTTGATTACTGTGTTCCCCTGCCCTTCCATTTCTGCTTCTACTCATCTCCTGTATTATTGTTGCTGTACATATTATATACTGTTCCACTGGTGGGCTCTTGTTCCCCAGTCAGACTCAGCTCTCCAAGGACAGGACTATGTTGTTCCTTTTCCTAGTCTCCCCCAGCATGATCAGACACAGGGCTGACCACTAGTAGGCACTCAAGAAACATGTGTTGGTAGCCAGTTGCTCAGTCTGAGGCCTTCCCAAACTGAGTGAGATGACAGCAGTGGCTAGTGAAAGCAGGCAGTCTATCACAGTGGGAGGTGCGCAGGGCCTCTGGATCAGGCTTTGGTTTGGGGGACAGTTCTCACTTTTCCTGTATTCCTTAAGTCCACAGTTTTGTGTGTGAGCAAGATGGAGGCTGACCCTTCTGGCTTTAACATCGATGCCCCCCGTTGGGACCAGTGCACTTTCCTGGGGCGGGTGAAGCACTTCTTCAATATCACGGACCCCCGCACTGTTCTGGTACCAGAGCGGGAGCTGGACTGGGCCAAGGTGATGGTGGAGAAGAGCAGGTGAATGGTTAGGGGAAGGGGCTGGAGACACTGGGGCAACATTGATGGGTCCCCCAGGGAGGAGGTGGAAACTGAAGACGAGGCAGAGGTCTCAGGAAGGAGGAAGAAATTAGAGCAGGATGATTTTGGAGTGGTGGGACAGGGAGGTAATCCTGCTTATTGTCCTTGGGTGACAGGATGGGGGTTGTGCCCCCAGGCACCCAAGTAGAGCAGCTGCTGTATGCCAAGAAGCTGTATGACTCGGCTTTCCACCCTGACACTGGGGAGAAGATGAATATCATTGGACGGATGTCCTTCCAGGTTCCCGGCGGCATGATCATCACAGGCTTCATGCTCCAGTTCTACAGGTGAGACCTGGGAACAAGGCAGTGGGAGGGGTATCCATATTAGGATAATAATAATAGCCATCTTTATTGAAATCAACCAGATACTGGGCACTCTGCTGAATTCTTTGCATGTGTTACCTCATTTAATTTTCTCAACAGTCCTACAGAGAGGTACTATTACCATCTCCATTTTATAGATGGAGAACTGAGGTTCTAGAGAAGTTATATAACTTATCCAAGTTTATACAGCCAGGAAGTATTGGTACATGGATTTTAACAGTCCTCTCTAGAACTCTCAATGAATAAACTATCCTAATTTTCTTTTATAAAAGTGCTTATAACCCTGGTTGGTTTTGCTCAGCGGTTAGAGCGTCGGCCTATGGACTAAAGTGTCTTGGGTTTGATTCCTGGTCAAGGGCATGTACCTGGGTCGTATGTTCAATCCCCCCAGGGTTGTGCAAGAGGCAACCAATAGATGTGTCTCTCTCATGTCGAGGTCTCTCTCTCTCCCTCCCTCCCTTCCTCCCTTCCACTCTCTCTAAAAATCAATGGAAAAATATCCTTTGGTGAGAATTAACAAAAACATAAATAAAAATTGCTTATAGTCAACAATGAATTTAATGTATTTTTGTAATGCAGTATGCCAGGAAGAAAATAGGAAAACCCTTTCAGCTGAGTTGGGAAGAGAATAAATTTTATAGCTGCTGGATGTGTGACTCTTCCCCCCTCCTCTCTTCCTTCTTTCCTCCTCCCTCCCCCTCATGCATTAATTTGTCCAGTTGTTGAGCCAGGCCTTGGGCCCCAGCTGTTAGGAATATAAAGACTTTAGTCCTTCCCCTCTAGGAGCTCCCAGTTTTGTTGAAGAGACCAAGAAGTAAACAGTTATAGTTCAGCTTTCTAAGTGGTAGGTTGAGGAGAGAATAGGGAGTTGGAGGAGCTGGGAGCATGGAATGACTGTGTCTCAGGAAGGGCATGGGAAGTGTCAGGAAGGTTCCAAGGAGGAAGTGATCTCAGCAGGGCAGGATTTAGTCATGTATGGAACCAGTGTCAGTGTCAGCATGTGTGTGTGTGTGTGTGTGTGTGTGTGTGTGTTTTCCAGGCAGAGGGGCGAGACTGCAAAAGCCCAGATGCATAGAACATGGGAACAGTTTGGGCAACAGCCGTTAACTTGGTTTGACCTGTGTATATACCAAGCCCTCCCTTCCATTCTACTCTCCTCTCTGGGCCTCGATTACTGGTAGGACGATGCCGGCAGTCATCTTCTGGCAGTGGGTGAACCAGTCCTTCAATGCCTTAGTCAACTACACCAACAGGAATGCGGCTTCCCCCACGTCAGTCAGGTAGGAGACCCGAACCCCAGGCTGTCCACATGGATCTGGAGGAGGTGGCTGTCAGTTCTCCCTGGGTGGGGCTCACACTGGACAGGTGGCGATGTCTCCCTTTTCAGGGTTTGGAAGTGTTTTCTTAGGCTAAGAGAGCATCTTCTTCCTAGACCAATTCTAAATTTGTTAATTCTAAAGATATTTCTTCTACGTTCATTCTTCAAATAGTTTTTGAGTGTGTATTATATGCCAGGCATGATTCTAGGTGCTGGGATACATTTGAGTAAGACATGCATGGTCCCTCTTTTTGTGGAATTTAATGTCTTCTAAGAAAACAAGCACAATAATCTCAGATTGTGATTGCTGCCTTTGAGGATATACACAGGTGACAAGATAGAGAACAGTAGAGAGGTGTCTGTATAGATAGGCTGGTCAGGGAAGTCCTTCCTGGAGAGCTGACATTTCAGCTGAGTTCTGAAGGATAAGGATTTAGCTATGCAAGAGCCCAGGGAAGAATACCCTGGATAGGGAGCAGCAGTGTGCAGAGTTTCTGAAGTAGGAAAAGGCTTGGCATGTTTAAAATACAAAAAGGAAGTACCTGGAACAATATCTAGCCCGTAATAGACACTCAGTAAATATTTGTTGAATTAAAATAAACAAATACAAAGAGGAGTCCCAGGGTGCTGGATCATCTTGAATTGGGCGGAGGTCACAAGATGACACTGGGGACAGATCACATAAGCTTCTCAGGCATTAAGCCTTGTCTCTAGACTTTCTCACTCAAGCCATGGTCTTACTCTCAGCTAGAAGGGCTCTCTACTTTTAAGCATCTCTCTCCTCTACTAGGCAGATGGCCGTTTCCTACATCACAGCCACAACCACTGCGGTGGCTACTGCTGTGGGCATGAACATGTTGACAAAGGTACTGTCTGGGGCTGCTGTGGGCGTGGTGACCACTAGGGGGCAGCAAAATCCAGGGAGAGCTAGCATTTCCCCAGTCTGGGTGAGTTGCAATGTAACCAGAGTTCAACCAAGTAGTGGAAGTGCAGCAGGGCTGTTCCCAGGTTGGTCTTTCTCAGGGCTTTGAGGGAATTTAGGCTCCCAGATGGATGTCTGGATGTGTTGCAGTGGCAAGGTCTGATTTCTTGTTCTGTAGTCCTTAAGTCCCTCCACTCCCAACTTTCAGGGAGCTTGAACAACTCCCATTGTTCCCTTTCCCCAACAGAAAGCTCCACCCTTGGTGGGCCGCTGGGTGCCCTTTGCTGCTGTGGCTGCTGCTAACTGTGTCAACATCCCAATGATGCGACAGCAGTGAGTGCAGGGGTCCCTTTTCCCCCCCTACAAGCCATGAGGTCAGCAGGGAAACCAAGGCAGTAGGTGATTTCTTGGAGCTGGGGTGGATGTTGGGAGAGGTTGCTGGGCTGTGTCTCTGAAGGGTCCCTGAGGATTGACTGCTCCGATAGTGATGGCCACTCCAATAGGAGTGACAGGTAATTTAGCTTTAATCTGTGATGAGTGTGTGGGAGTCACTTTTTGGATGGTGTAGGATGGAGACATAGGGTGAACCTGTGGGGTATTATTCTCAATCACATCCTTTCAACTGCAACTGTATTTAAGTTGTGAGCTCTGCCTATTTCCAAAGCCCTGGGATTGGCTCACAGAATGAAATGTAGCAGAGCGAGGTGTCCAAAGATAGAACAGAGCCAAGAACTTTGAAAGAAGCCAGAGAGTAGATAGATGTTTTCCAGGCACCTGGCTCTAAGCTTTGCAGCAGGAAAGGTAAAAGGAGAAACCTGTTTTGTCTCACAATTCTTATTTCTTGACTAGAGAAACCATAGATGTTTCTCTGTTATAAAATTGAGTGATGTAGTGTACATAGAGCTCTCAAAATAGCACCTAGAATGTAACAAATGCTACATGTGATGACTGTTACTGCTACTGTTGTCATTATCACCTTCATCATCATCACCAATTTCTACAAGTCACATTTTTTGGAACTACTAGTAAATGGAAATTTATCACACTTACCCTTGCTGGAAGAGCACACCACCAGAATAGTTGTGCATACACATTACTCCTCTCCTCTCTCCCTCCATGCAGTTGCTCCTTGCCATCATATGAATAAGTCCCAGCCACCTGCTTGGTTTTGGGTGAGTGCTGTCAAGACTGGCCTGATAATAGGAACCAGAGCAGCTGGTGTTTGTGGCACAGTCACTGTGGGTCAGGCACTGGACTAAACACTTTGCAGGCATTATCTTGTTTTATCTTCACCAAGTCCTATGAAGTGGGTGCCACGATTGTCCCCATTTTGCAGATGAAGATACCTGAGTCTTTAGAAGGATTAGGGAAGTTACTCATGATCAGACACTTACTCTGCAGTTTCAGGATTCAACCTGGGCAGTTTGGGCTCAGGACTAGTTCTTTTAACCACTGTCCGAGGTCACTTCAGAGATACCACTCACTGGAGTGCAGAGAAGGTCATAGGGCAATGCTGTAGAATGTGGCTTCCTAGAGCTTGAATGCCCTAGCCTTGGTTCCCTGGGGTGTCACACTGCTGGCAGGCTTCCACACCCTTTTCCCAAGTGTAGCAACTCCTGTCTGTGTTTAGGGAACTCATCCAGGGCATCTGTGTGAAGGACAAGAATCACAACGAGATTGGTCATTCCCGGGTGAGCAGAGGTCTCCCTTTGGGTGGGGGGAGGAAACTCCCTTTCATACCCTGTGCTGTCCTTAGTGGTCAGAGCAGGCCTGGACTCCATTATACTATCTCCCTGACTCTGCTCTCATTCTCCTAAATTTTCCCAACATTTCTCTGTTTAGGACATTTCTCATGTTCTTTCTCCATCATTTCTAGTCCTGAAACCATAAGAGCTGGGTGGATGAGGGTTGGGAGAAGTCACTCAGTTCCTGGCAGGTCCATCCCTTCTCCTTTATCAGCTCATACTTGGCTGTGACCCTGACCCTGACTTTAGCCATGGATACTGGATAAAATCATTCCTGACAACTTGCTCTTTTCTGCCCTCAGAGAGCTGCAGCCATAGGCATTACCCAAGTGGTCATTTCTCGGATCACCATGGCAGCCCCTGGCATGAGTAAGATTGGGAAGCCTTCCCCTCTGGGGACCTCTGGAACATATGATTGAGGCCTCAGCCACACTCAGCTTTTGGGTGGGAGGTGGGACCACAGCTTCTCCAGCTTCTCTTGCTGGTTTGCTCGAGTGCTGAAAGCCACAGGAGAACCACAGTGTAGTTCTTAGTACATCAATTAATCAGACATTTTAAGGTCTTTCCATTCAACATATATTTCTTAAGTACCTTCAATGTGCTGGACACAATGCAGGTGCTGGGGAGACAGTGGGAGAGAAAATAAATCCCCTGTGCTGGTTGTGCTTCCAGCAGGGGCATGTTACAGAGAAGGATAAAAAGTCTATTTACATGAGCCTTCAGAGACAGTTTCGAGTTTTGAGAAGGACACTTTGGACCTGGGGCACATATTCTATTATTGCAGGTGTGCTTTGGGAGGCACCCTTCTGCTGGGACTTGAGGGACAAGTCAGAGTGGTCATGCCTACAGTCTTCTATTATTCTCCCAAATGAAAAGTATTTTCTGGGACTTCTGGGGAAGGAAGGGTAATCACTCAGTCCCTGATCTGACTTCAGAAAGGGGGTCTTAGGGAAAGTCTTACAGGTCCGCTCAACTTGTCCCTGGTTTCTTTCAGTCTTACTGCCGGTCATCATGGAACGGCTGGAGAAACTGCGCTTCATGCAGGTGAGTGGGGTTCCCTTTTGCGTTCTCTTCTCAGGGTCCTCCAACCACACTTGTGCATGGGAGCTCCTGATTTTCTCATCCTTCCCTCTAGCTCCCAGCCTTCATCTCACTGAAGTAGGGCCCATACCAGTCCTCACTGGCTGCCCGCTTTAGACACCATAGCCAGTTGCTTGCCCTTGTCTGCAGAGAGCAAGAAGAACCCCTTCTCCTCCCCTTCAGGGCCAGCCGTCTTACACCTGTGGGCTTCTAGCTGCCTGATTGGTCACGGGGCAGGTGTGAGGTTCACCTTAAGGTATATAAGTACCATGTGGGTCTTTTTGTTTGTTTGTTTTTGTGCAGAAAGTCAAGGTCCTGCATGCGCCATTGCAGGTTATGCTGTGTGGGTGCTTGTGAGTAATGTTTTCTTGGTTTGGGTTTTGTGGTGGCTGGGGCACTCCAGATCTGTCCTCTTGTGTCATTTGTGTTGAAGAACATGTTCTCCTTTACCTGACTTCCAAAGTTCCCAAGCTCAGAACACCTGTGATCCATCTGGAGGGCTCTCACCTCATCTTTTTGGAAGAAACCAGGCTCTATGCACATAGGCTGTATGCACACATCTGCATGGAAAGTGGAGTGCTTGGGTACCCTCCTGTCCCAGGGTCTTGCCTCTGACCTTAAGTCTGGAGAAGACACAAAAATGATGAGACAATCCCACCATGAAAAAGAAGTGATAATAATGTGACATGATAGAGGTGTTAGCTAACACTAAAGTAATCATATTGCAATATATGAATGTATCAAATCAACATGTTGTACATCTTAAACTTGCATATTTTTATATGTCAATTATATCTCAATAAAAATAAATAAGTAGATATAATAAATGAAGTGACAAAAATGATGAGACAGCCTGGGACTGTTAGGTGTCCCAGCCTCGCCCAGGAGGAAACCACCACATCATGGCAGCATTCTTAGGTGCCTGCCATCGACTGGCCATGTCCTACCATTAACCTTGTTTCGCAGGGCTGCATGGTGAGTGACAGCAAAAACTAACATTTATGGAATATGCCCACTGTGCTAATGCTTCACATCTATAATTTCACTTAATTCCCTCAGCCCTGGAGGTATATATACTTTCATTGTCTTTTACAAAAGAAGAAATTGAGGCTTGGAACGATGAAGACACTTACCCAGAGGTCTATAGCTGATAATTGCTGGAGCTGAGATTGGTCCTTGGCAGATGTGCTATACTTCTGCTCATAGAGTTACCACTAGTGGGCAGTTAACCACAGACTGGGTGCTATACAAGGGTTATCTTGTTGAATCCTCACAGTAACCCTACAAAGAAGGCACTCTTGTGCTCCGTCTGCTGGCCCAGAGGTAATGTGCCCCAGATTGTACAACTTTTAAGTGTCAAAAGTATGATATGATCCAGGTCTGTTAGGCTCCCCAATCCTGTAAGACATGGTCCTGTACCTGCACCATCTTAAAACTTGTTAGAAATAAATACTCAAGCCCTTCCAGAGACCTTCAGAACTCGCATCGTATTTTAATAAGCCCTACAGTTATGCACATTGAAGTTTAAGGAGCCCTGCCCTTTACTGTTCTCCAACAATGCAGATGTTCAATGAATAGAGGAGGAGGACCTTTGGATTCACACCCCTCACTGCTTTCCCTACACATCAGTGGATGCATGTGGTCTTCAGGGCTGCTGCTTGCCCTAGTGACTTCATGAGCTTGACCCACAGGGGTGGATGGGGTAAGGGATGGGGGTGGAGGTGGGCTGATTTTATTTCATGCCAGAATTAGTATCCTGGCACCAGAGACCAGGAGAAGGGTTGGAGGGAGAGGAGCTGTGGAGCTAGCTGGGAAGGCAGGCCAAGTGAATGGGCATCTCCCCCATCCTTCAAGGGGCTCAGGGATTATCTGTGGGAGGGCCTGTGGGTAAATGCCCCCTAACACTTTGGTTTCTCCTTTTTTTCCAGCCTCATCTTCATGGTGCCAGTCGCATGTGGGCTGTTCCCACAGGAATGGTATCAGCTATTCATTCATTACTTGTTTTACCAAATGTCCTGTCCCTGCTCTTCCTGACCTGCTTGCTGCCCCAAAGGAAAGAGGAGGGGCAGGAAGGGCAGCATTTATCCAGGACAAGTGCATATCAGCCTAAACTCTAGGCCTCTTAACTCTGCATGAATAGTAAACCAGAACACATCTCTAAGGGGATGAATTGCTTTCTCCCAGTGGAGCAAGGGCTGCCTTGGAGAGGAGGTGAAGGAACAACAAGAAACTGTTTTGCTGATTGGGTTATTAGATAAATTTCCCCTGGCTGTGTCTAGTCTTTGAAATTGAACAAGGGGGCAGGTACTTATTCTGGCTCATGTTTGCCAGAGAGTGGATGACTTGACCCTCTTCATTTCCCTTGCATGTCATGGAAGGAGAGCATCAGACGGGTGGGAGGAAGGACTAGCTCCAGGAGACTAGGTATGCATATATACCTGGAAATATATATATTGAATATATACATATATATGTATTCAATAGCTTGAATATATACAGAGAAGATGCCAATCTCCCCTTCCTTAGTACTCAGCTCAGTAGTCACCTGTTATACATCTCCTGTGTTCTGAGCACTGTGCTTGCAATCTTGTGGAGAAGGTGGAAGTTGAGCACCAGGGAGAATGAAGTCAGGCCTGTGTAGAGGTAAAAGCAACATATTATGGTATACAGAGGCTAATACTAATTCTGAAGGAAGAATCAGGGAGGGCTTCTTGGAGGTGGCATTTAAGTTGGACTTTAAGGGTAATTTGCTGCTGTCTAGGTGGCATACTCATAACCTTCTTCTCTCTTCTCAGTGAACTGCCAGTTTCGTTTCTGGAACCGGAGCTCCAAGACACCATCAAGGCCAAGTATGGAAAACTTGTGCCTTACGTCTACTTCAATAAGGGTCTCTAAATTCCCCACCCCAGCCCTGGCCGGTTTGCCTCAGTGGTTGGAGCGTCAGCCTGCAGACCAGAGAGTCCTGGGTTCAGTTCCCGCTAGGGGCATGTAGAATGAATGAATGCATGCCATCCATCCATCCATTCCAGCAAGGACCAGTCTATACCTATATTCACCATCTCCTCCTTAGCCACCTGTGCCTTCATTCCTCTTTACCAACAGGGCCTGAGGCTAGGGTGGATTTGGGGGTGGGGATTCCAGGATGCCTCCTGCTTCTACCCAGGCACTAGGTTTATTGGGCTCCAGGGGATAAAAGTGAACAAGGGGAGAAAGACCAAATTTTCTGTACCCCCTCCCCCTTTAACTCCTATTCCCTGGAAACCAGGAGCTGAGGCCCCCCCTGCTCAGGTATAAGTTGCTGGGACCTGAGCAGACACTCAGCAAATCGATTGGAAAAATTAGGAAAACTTTGGGATTCTGGTTCCAGACAGGATTGGGGAAGAGCCTCTGGGACAAAGAGAAGCACCTACATCTCCTTTCTCTTACCTTCTGTGTCATCTCTCAAGCTATGGAACCTTTACCCATGCAGTTCCAGCAAATGCAGGAAGCGGGGTGGCTAGTCTGTGTCACCTTGGGGCTCGTCTCCACTCTGCCCTATTCCCCTCATTGCCCCTGTCAGAAAGGTTCTTTGGGAGGGCTGCTAACCTTGAGTTTATCAAGCACCTGGGAGTTCTTGGTGCTGAATGGAGTCATTGAGGCAGCAGAGTTTCATGGTTCTTTGAGCCCTGTCTGTTGACACTTTGTTCTCTAATGTTATGTCTGATTTTACTTATGTGTTTAAAAGATAATTCCACTAATTGTGAGTGAAAATGATGTATGTAAGCATTAATCACACATTGTAATGGTATAATTTCCTGGCTACCTCCCTTCCTCAGCCCATTAGGTTAAACACCAAAGAAAGACTGGTGTATATTGACTAGGAAAGGGAAGTTTTATTTGGACGCCTGTAAGAGAAAAATCAACCAGGACCAAAGAGCCTTAAAGGACACACAGCAATGCATAGCTACTTGTCCTTTCCAGCTTGGCTGCTGTAGGTGATTTCTCATGCTCCCTGGGGAACTCTTGTGGCATACCTGGGGTCAATGTCTGAATACGTTTTGTCCAGTAGAATTTACTGACTGTTCAAAGATACCACTGTGAATTGAATAAATATCTTAAAAGCACAATGAACTGTCTGCAGTCTGAGTTAACACCTGGATGGAAAGCTGGATCTGGACTTACTTTGGCCTTGGCATGGAGGTTATCACAGCTTTAAGGGAAACCTATCTGTCTGAAGCCCAGAGGCTATTGTTCATTTCCCTTATAGCACGGGAAAAATCCACCTGTCTTTGCTGGAAGCTAAGGATTGTAAAATGGAAAAAACAATATGTGACAGAGAACCAATGTACGTAGCATGCAAAACCCAAAGTATTTATTCCCTGGTCCTTTACAGTAAAAAATTACTCTGGAGTAATAGCTCTAAAAATATGCATTGGGATCACCTGGAGGGCTTGTTAAAACACGGATCATAGGGCCCCCTCCCCCAGAATTTCTAATTATGTGAGTCTGAGGCAGAGCCTGAGATTTGACATTTCTGGTAATTTTCCAGTGATTCTGTGTACCACACTTGAAGGACCACTGCTCTAATGAGAAAGGGCCTCCTCCCTGTGGTCAAAGTACTGGTTGCAATTTAATTTAGTGGTTTGTAGTATATTCAACAGAGTTGTACAACTATCATCACTAATCCCAGAACTTTTTCATTACCCTCAAAAGAAACTGCATATTAGCAGTCACTCCCCTCATCCCCTAGCCCCAGCCCCTCACAATCCCTAATCTACTTTCTGTCTCTATATTTGCCCATTCTGGACATATCATGTAAATGGAATCACAGTATGTGGCCTTCTGCACCTGGCTTCTTTCACTTAGCATAATGTTTTCAAAGTTCATACATGCTATATAACCTGTGCACTTTGATTTTAGCTGATGTCTGAGCAGAAAGGTCTGTGTCTTTGAGCTAGTTTTTTTTTAGGATAAGAGATTTGGCTTCAGCATGAACATTGCCCACTTCAAAGGCAAATAGGAAAAACTTTACCAGAGCTCAGAAGCTGTTTGACACTGGTGTTCTTTTAAAAATCAACAACCTGCCCTGGCCAGTTTGGCTCAGCGGTTAGAGAGTTGGCCTGTGGTCCCGAGGGACCCAGGTTCAGTTCCCACTAAGGGCGTGTGCCTTGGTTGCAGTTTGTCCCCGGCCCTGGTTGGTCATGTGCGTGGCAGCCACTAGATGTGTCCCTTTCATGTCGATGTTTCTCTCTCTCTCTCTGTTCCTCTCCCTCCACTCTACCTGAACAAAAAAAATGGAAAAACGTCCTCGGGTGAGGATAAAAAAATAAATAAAAATAAAAATCAACATTTCCCTTTCCTTTTCAGTTCCTTAAGCCTCCTGGCATTCCTCCTGTCTTCATAGACAATTACTCTTTGGAAAAGTCTGGAGTATGTAGTGGCTACAGTTCAGAGGCATTATTTATTTATTTATTTATTTATTTATTTATTTATTTATTTTTTCTTTATTGATTTTAGAGAGAAAGGAAGGGAGAGGTAGGGAGAGATGGAAACATTGATGAGAGAGAACACTGATGGGCTGCCTCCTGCATGCCCCCCACTGGGGATTGGACCCACAACCTGCATGTGCCCTGACTAGGAATCGAACCGGCAACCTCTTGGTGCATGGGTCAACGCTCAACCACTGAGCCACAAGAGCCAGGCCAGAGGCATTTTTTAAAGCATTCACTCATACTGCCTCTCAGCTCCGTTTTGTAAGGCCTCTGCTTTTTTCAATTGGCTCCTGGGGGAATGTGGAAATAAAGTTGGTTAGAATGACTCTTGGTGCGGGAAATGCTAGTCCAGACTGCAAGGTTTAGTGTTTGTCCTGTCCAGTAGCTCAGTTTGAGCTCTCAGGTAAAGGGAGAAAGGGAAGTTGGGACAAAATCCTCTGTGTCTGCCAAATTGAAACCATTGGGGTTTTCTAATGATGATGATGCCTGGCTTTTATGTGGCCTTTGTAACTCTTTGATGCCAGGATTAAGACCCTATGTATGAAAATTGGGCCTTTGCTTAGTACTCAATCTTTATCTGTCTCCTATGGAGCTTGATTGTGGAGTGAATGGATTTCTAAGAAACGAGATTGGCAAAAAAATACTTGTCACTTTTTGTAGCACTTGGGAAAGCAGAACTATGGACATATGTTGGGGCAAAACTGATTTTCTTCACTCTTACCTGTTTCCCACTTTGCACTGAGACAAGAACAATTCCCTGTGGGCTCAGCCATGGGCCAGATTGGGTCAGGCTGTATAATGATTTCGCAGATTTTTGAGAGAAAATTGGCAGCTACAGGCAGCTGGTTTCTCTGTCATGGGTCTTCATTTCATTTTACTATATGAGTTCATAGTTGGGTCCTGTGCAGGATATTGTAGGGATTGCTTAAGAAATGAATGGCCTACCCAGCCGGTTTGGCTCAGCAGTTGGAGCATCAGCCTGTGGACCAGAGAGTCTCGGGTTCGATTCCTGCTAGGGGCACGTACCAAAAAAAAAGAATGGCCTAGCCGGTGTGGCTCAGTGGGTTGAGCATCCTCCCATGAACCAAGAGGTTCCAGTTGGATTCCTGGTCAGGGCACGTGCATGGGTTTCCAGCTTGATCCCCAGTGGGGGGGTTGTGTGGGAGGTGGCAGATTGGTGTTTCTCTCTCACATCAATGTTTCTGTCTCTCCCTTCTCTCTCAAAAAAAAAAAAAATCAATAAAAACACTTATTAAATTGTTTTTCTTTATTAATATTAGAGAGAGGAAGGGAGAGGGAGAGAGAGAAACATCGATGAGAGAGAACATCAATTGGCGTGCCTCCTGCATGCCCCACACTGGGGATCAGGCCACAACCTGGTCATATGTCCTGACCAGGAATCGAACTGGTGACCTCTTGGTGCATAGGTCGATGCTCAACCACTGAGCCACACCAGGCAATAAGAACATATTTTAAAAAAAGAAAAATAAATGAGTAAGACAGTGTGCCGGACAAAAAGTTGCAATTTAGTAAGAAGGGTCAGCCAGACAGAAACAAGTTCAATATATTGTGGGGGAAGTGTTATGTGGCTCCAGAAGTAGAAACAAGGGGACGGGAACTAGGAGTTTGTATGTGAAATGTGTAAATGAAGTATACTATATTGCACAGCACATTGGGGATCTCCGAAGTGTCCAGGGTGAGCAGAACGTGTGGGCAGCAGTGAGATAAAGAGAAGTATGCAGGAACCTGGACACAGGGCCATGTTGAGAAGTTTGGACTACATATTCTGTCGGTAGTTGAAGAATTTTTAGAGGGAAAGCCATGAGACAATGTTTTTTGTTTGTGGTAGAGCACCCTTGTTGTGGTGTGTGAAATGAGACCATTTATATTTAGCCAAAAGGTGAGAAGATGGATTGAAACATTTGGGGTGGATTTCAGAGCTATTTTTCAGGTAGAGTCCATACAACGTTGTTCCTGCGACTTGTGGTGGCAAAACACCGTGCCTCAGGTAAAGGTACTGTCTCATAGGGAATTCAAGTTGACCTAAGCTACTGCTTGGACAATTTGAGACCAGGAGAGGGACCCTGGTACTGGGGCTGTGATTCAAGACAAAAGATATCAGAAGATTTTTAGATTGCAGTTGTTTTATTCTTTAGGAGCGTCTGGTTACCTCCTTAAAAACATAACATTTGCCAACACCATTTATTTGTTTTTTCCAACACCATTTATAATTACCATACCCTTTCTCTTTCTTAGCTGAACTGTGGAAATCTAGTACTTCCGCCACACTCAGGATGGCTATACCGAATTAGACTTTTCCATACCACACGTTCTCGGTGGCCCCGCCCCCAGGCCGGAGCTACCTCGGCCACTCTCCGCATTTACACCCGCTTGCAGCACTCAAGATGGCCCAGCTTCCTCCTACTTTTAATTGGCTGAATCCTTCTGCTTTTCCGTCTTCATGGGGCGGAACCTCGTGGGGGCGGAACTTAGATTTGATCGACAGCTGCTTTGATCAATGGACGAAGGGCAGAGGCCAATAAGGCGCTGGAACTGGAGAACCTCCCCAGTGTCTGGGAGGGTGTTTTGGCTGGGGTGGAGCAGAGCCGGAAGCGGGAGGGGAGAGTGAAACAGGAAAAGAAGGGAAGGAGGAAGAAGAGGAAAGAGGAGGAGAGGGAAGAGGAGGAGGGTGGCGGCGGCGCCGTGGCGGAGGAGCAGGAGCAGGAGGGGGGATGGAGAGGAGAAGGCTCCTGGGTAGCATGGCGCTCCTGCTCCTCCAGGTGCTGCCCAGCCCCCTGTCAGCCGGGGCTGAACCCCCGCAGGTAAGGGGGAGGGGGCGTCCGGGCCATGCTGGGGACCTGGGGGTCGTCGAGGCCTGCCTGGAGGAGGCTGGAGATATCCTCGCTGCTAGCTGGAGGGGGCCGAAAGAATGTTGTTGCCAAGAGTTGAGGGGTCCCGAGAGGGATACCCATGTGTGGAGTGGACAGGATCTAAGGGGGCGTCGATGTTTAGCTGAGGGACACCTGTTTTGGTGTCAGGGAGGTTGACAGAGGCTTGGTGCGAAGCTAGTGCGAGCTTGTGAGACAGACGGTGGTTAGATCAGGTAGGCTGGGATGACTGGATAATGGTGCCAAGCTGGGGCATGTGGGGTGCATTCGTGTTCCCCAAGGCAGCAGTGCCCCTTGTACGTCCATGTGGGTCGGGTTACGTGAGCTACTGAGCTAGCCTGAGAGGGAGGAGGGGCTAAGAGGAGGGGCTATTTTAGGTTGAACGGGGGCAAGTTCTGAGGGCACCATTTTTCATAGTGTTGGAGTTAAGTGGTTGGAGGAAGGACTCTTGGAAGGCAGATGGGATGAAGTAGACTGGGACCCTTCAGGAAGAGGGCACACTTGAGCTCTAATAAACTTTTACTGTTAGGCTGGCTGGCCTGGGAGAGCCAGTCGCTGACGCTGATCTGGGCCAGCCTAAGGCTTTTGAGCAAATGGTGGTGCTGATGCCAATACAGACAGCAAATGAAGCACCCCAGCTTTTCTTGCTGGGTGGCTTGCTTTTTATCCAAGCAGAGAAGCTGGTTTGTGTTGATTCCAGCTCTGGCTGGCATTTCGAAACCTTAATGGGAGCGTTACTCCTGGTGCCAAGTTGGGTGGGGTGCACTAGGGGTAATCACCCCTCCTTCCCTTGCATTTGGCAAGGCTTTCCCATTCTGTTGTCTTCACTTTCCGATCCCTTCCCTGTCTTTTCAGAAAGACACACGCACGATGGCTGAGTCTATACAGTTTAGCACTTGCACTTTGTGTTGTGGTCAAGAGTAGAAGCAGTCCCAGCAAAAATACTTATCTTTTCCCTAGGAGTTCAGGGGCTGCCTATTCACATACTGTATACATCTTTGTTTTGTTCATTAGTAGCCTTTATTTTACAATTTAAATGAGATGAAATTCATATAACAAACTATTTAAAACCATTTAACCATTTTAAAGTGAAAAATTTCAGTGGCATTTAGTATATTCACAGTGTCATTTAACCACCACCTCTATTCAGTTTCAAAACATTTTCATCACCCCAAAAGAAAACCCCCTACCTATTAAGCAATTCCTCCCTGTTCCCTCCTTCACCCAGCCCCTGGCAACCACCAACCTGCTTTGTCTCTATGAATTTATCTATTCAGAATATTTCATATAAATGGGATTCTACAATGTGGCCTTTTGTGTCTGGCTTCTTTCCCTTAGCATAATGTTACCGAGGTTAATCCATGTTGTAGCATGTACCAGTACTTAATTATTTTTTATGGCTCAATAATGCTCCACTGTGTGGCTATACTACAATTTGTTTATTCATTTATCTGTTTAAGTGTCCTGTTTTAGCCCAAGAATATATTTAGGTATTTTAGAATAACATGTGAAAGTAACAGAGCTCATTTTCTGGGCCAGTATATTCCCTTTTCTAGGTCTGAACTCTTCTGTTTTAGGCTTTATCGGGGTGCTTTATTTTCCCAATTAAAATCAAACTAGCCCTGGCTGGTTTGGCTCAGCGGTTAGAGCATCGGCCTCCGGTCTGAAGAGACCCGGGTTCAGTTCCCACTAAGGGCACGTACCTCGGTTGCAGTTTGTCCCCAGCCCTGGTTGGTTGTGCGGGTGGCAGCCACTCGATGTGTCCCATTCACGTCACTGTTTCTCTCTCTCTCTCTGTTCCTCTCTCTCCCTCCCACTCTACCTGAACAAAAAATGGGAAAATGGCCTTGGCCAGTTTGGCTCAGCAGTTAGAGCGTTGGCCTGCGGTCCAGAGAGACCCGGGTTCGGTTCCTGCTAAGGGCACGTACCTCAGTTGCAGTTTGTCCCTGGCCCTGGTTGGGTCATGTGGGTGGCAACCACTCGATGTGTCCCTTTCACATCAATGTTTCTCTCTCTCTCTCTCCCTCCCACTCTATCTGAAAAAAAAAAAAAAAAAAAAAAAGGGAAAATGTCCTCGGGTGAGGATGAAGGAAAAAAAAAATCAAACTAGCAGGAGAAATAAATTTTGTGTATTAGAAACTTTGTAATCCTTTGGACTGGTAAAAGATAAATGCTGACAGAACAAAACAGAACAAACTGTTGCTTTTCCTTTGTACCTGTTTCTGTATCTGTGAAGGCTGCTCCCAATTACTAATAAATAACATTGCTAGAAGGGTAATTTAGGAATGTTGGAGCCTTTGGAGGTGGGTGTCCAGGGCCTGTGGACTGCTTCACCCTGTTGGAGAGGAATGGCAGACTTCCTAGTCAGTTGTGGGAAACATCCATTTCTTTAGCAGGAGGAAAGATGGCAAGTGGAAGTTTCTATGTCATTCAAGCTTGGGAGGTGACTAGAAAATTGTGTGGGGGAATCTTCAGTGTCTTGCCCTAACTGTAGTTTGTTGAGCACAGGCCATTTTCTTATCATTTCTCTGGCACTTCCATTACTTATTTTGGGGACAGGATGACTCTTGTACTTTGTTCCATTTGGATGGATGCATTGACCAGCAGCTATTTTGTGTGGTTACAGTTCCTGCAGAAAGGGGAAGGTTTTTATAATGAATAGTCTCCCTCTTCCTAACCCCTCCCCCCGTACACTTCCATCCCGACCTAATACCCCTGTCTCTTTCTATAAGAGACTATTATATATCTGTAATGAGATTTGTGTTTTGAATTTTAACCTTTGGAATGGAAGCTATTACATAATTATTAACTCTGAATCCACCACAATTTAGCCACTTTGGTGTTTGTTGATTTTTTGGCTTGTAGAAATCAGTCAAGAAAAAAAATTCAGAGACCATTTTGGCATAGGACCTACTTCAGGTATTTACTGTCCTTATTTCAACAAGTGACTTCCAGCCAACTGAATTGAGGAGGATTCTGTATACCTTGTTGAAATGGTATGGGCACCTCATTGCATTTCCCCCCTTGAAATGGCTCTATCAAGTACCATTTTTTTTCATATGCATTTAATATCAGAAATACATAATATTAGGTGGCTTGCTTTTTTTAAATAGCTCTGCCCTGGAACAGACATTTTTTGCCATCCTGGCCCAGGAAAGTTCATTAGCTTAGCTCACTTCTATGATTAGGAACTTAGACTTAACTCTCCTTTAGGTCACTGCAACTCAGTTATGAGTCCTTGAATCTATAAAGTATAAAAAGGCAGTAAGGTCTCCAAATACTAAGGCCTTGGCATTTGTCTCTTCCAGTTAAATTATGATTGAAATACCTAGAGTATTTTTGTTTTTTCTACTTTTGGTTAGGCTTAAGCAGAAAAATCTGACTATATTATCTAAAATAAAGATTTAGGAAAGTCTTTTTCCATGAATTGACTCAACCAATGGCCTGGGCACAAATCGCTGGAGATGCAGTTACGACTTTTCCTCTGCCTTGCTTAAAACTTGAGTTGGATGGGGGCGCTCTTTCCTTTTTTTCCCACCCCTCAGTAGTATACCAGTTGGCCCCCCAATTTCCCTCCTTTACTCACCTCCATTGCCCCAGTTTTCAGTCCAGAAGCCCCTTTTCAGTGCAATCACCAATACTCCTTCTTGTAGAATAGTGGGATAGGAGACTTCCAGAATCAAATCCTTTTCCTCATTTTAGTCTTTTTTACACACCCAAGTAGGCAACTGTTGAAAATCAATATCTTGAGTTTCTGTAAATCCTTTCAGCAGAATTCAGCAAACATTTACTGAAATGTCTACTCTTGCAGCAGGCTATCATTATCTCTAGGCATTGGGAACCCTCAAATGAGTAACAGAATCCTTGTCCTCAAGGAGCTTGGTAATCTTGTGGGAAAGACATATAACACAATGATTTGTAATCCAGAGGGATCATGTTGTAATGGAAATGCAAACAAAGGCCAGTGGGAACAACTGATTCTGCTAGTGCCAGGGGAAGGTGGGGATTTAGGGAAAAGGCATTTGGATGGGCTCTAAAGGTTGATAAGCATAAGTAGAATGTCTATGGACCAGGAATGAGGAAAGCACATTCCAGATGAAAGAGTGAAAATGGAGGAGGTGCATAGTCTGTGGCGGAAGCTTCGGAAGCTTCGTATGTGGTTGTGAGAAGAGGAGGGTGAAAGTAGTGAGACTTGAAAGGTGGACTGTGGTTAGCTGGTAAAGGAAATCTTTTATCCATTCATTGATGGCAGTGCTGTCCTTAGAACGTTCTGTGATGTTGGAAATTGTATCTGCATTGTTCGTTTTGGTAGCCACTTAACCACATGAAGCTATTGAGTATTCAAAATGTGGCCAGGATAACTGAGGACATTTCATGACATCTAGTTTTTTATATCAACTTCCTTGAGCTATAATTAACATGCCAAAAGATTCATCCGTTTAGCCCTGGCCAGTTTGGCTCAGCAGTTGGAGCTTCGGCCTGTGGACCAGAGAGCCCCGGGTTCAGTTTCTACTAGGGGCACATACCAAAAAAAAAAAAAAAAGATTCATCCTTTTAAAATGTACATAAAATGTCTTTTTTGTAATTCACAGTTGTGTGACCATTACCACTATCTAATTTTAGAACATTTTCAGTCACCCCATAAAGTAACATCATAGCCATTAGCAGTCTCTCCCCTTTTCATCCCCTCCTTCCCCCATCCCCTGGCACCATTAATCTACTTTCTGTCTCTATGGATTTGCCTATCTGGACATTCCATATAAATGTAATCATACACTTATGTGATCCTTTGTGACTGGCTTTCACTTAGCATAATATTTTAAGATTCATCAATGTTGATAGATCAGTATATCATTGTATGTGTCAGTATTTTATTCCTTTTTATGGCTGGCTAGTATTCAGTTGTTTGAATGTACCACATTTTATTTATCCAT